TCTCTCTCTCTCTCTCTCTCTCTCTCTCTCTCTCTCCACATCACCTCCAATGAAGGCAGTCCGTCGCCTCGCATCAACACAGAGTTGTTACCCCGCTTGGTCCGAGCATACAAGCCAGGTTCGCCCGTGCTCCACAGTCCGTCGAGGCCCCCACGTCAACCCCGCATACTTGGCACCAGCTCGTCGGATCGCCCAACTCTCTCGTCTACTCACCTTCCTAGCTTGCTCATTAGCCGATCCTCACTGACCGCACTAACTTCCAAATTCATAGAGAGCCAACTAATCGCACTGGCGAAATTTATAGCATGCTTGTTTGCGCAAAAAACCTGGGATTAGTATGCCTGAGCAGGGAAAAGAGGAAGTGCCTACGTCTGCAAGGCCAGGCTGCGGCGCGGGGGACGAAGCCACTCTCCACGCGTCGATGCAGTCATGCAATATTGGAACCAATTAGAACGGAGAAGGAAGCATGCATGTACGGGCGAAGGTGGGGCGGGGCCCCAGATCCTGCTGTGGTAAGGCGCTTGCAAGCAAGAAACGTCGTATAGCCAGATTTAGAGGTGCCTAAATTCCTAGCCTAAATCCTAATTACGAAAGGAAATTCCGAAAGGAAATTCCGAAAGGAAACAATTCGGAGAGCTCGCGGGGGCTCGACATCAGTTCGAAAAATTCAAAAGCGACGTTCCCGCGCGATGATCACACCAAAATTCCCAGTTCCCACAACTGAACAAGAAAAAAGCTATGACAACACTTATCTTTTGCGCTTGCCAAGGCGTGGTCACTTTAACTGCCTACCCGGGACTTTCCCGACCCTGGTCCGAAAGCCAAAAAAAAAAAGAAGCGAGGGCATCCATGCAACTTGACCGACCGACCCATCTGAATGCTTCTCACCCGACCAACCCGTCCAAACCTGTGAAGCAGCTTCGCGCAAAAAGTCGCGTGGTTACGGGAAACAGTTTGTCATATATGTGACACCCAGGGGGTTCCAATCTTGAGCAAGTTCCCGCTTGCTCCTTCAATTGTCCGTCAATCCCGTGTGATTGACGCGGAGTTGACACGTGCCACTTACCGCAAGATGAAAGTGTGAAAGTTATCCAGGTGGCATTCGCGACACCGATCTAAAGGTTGTCGGGGAAGGGCAGTCTAATGACGGGAGGAGGGAGGGGAGGGTGAGCTTGGAGGAGGGGTGGTAGAAAACGATTCCGCTCCCGATCTCCTGTGGGAAGCCGGGTGTAATGGATCGTGCGATGTATGCAAGGGTAGCGATGATCCTGGTGAGGGAGGGAGGCAAGGTAGTCGGGATAGAGAGTGCACAAGGTGCGGGGGATCGCGGCACAAAGATCCTTATACCCTTCGCACGCGGGGATTACTCCCAAGATTATACAATTTGTTAGAATCTCGCCATGCCGCGCTGAAGAGGAGGATGTGGAGAGGGAAATGGATTACGATGGATTTAGTGGAGGCGTGCGGGAAGATGGTGACACCAAGACGGGTAGCGTAGAGCTGGTGGAAGAGGGAAGGGGGAAAAGGATACCAGTTGGAGGGGAACGGGGGCCGTCCTGTGATTTGGTGGATAGCGAGGTAATCAAGGGGACGGCGGGATAACGACCAGGGACGAAGCCCGAGTGCCCGCATCTCCACGTAAGCGAACTGTGGGCCTCTGAGGTGGAGGGGATTGAGCCGGCGTTGGACTTCTTCTGCGGCGTCTGCCTTTAGATCCCTCCGTGGTGGCGACATCATCTCCTCCAAACTCCTTTTGCGGTAGCTTCGGGTTGAAAGCTGGATCGTCCTGCAACAGCCTCGCGCCGGGCTCGTCCGACTCCTGTACTGGGCGCTTCTCTTTGGCCCTCTCCCGTCTCCTCTGAGCCACTACTTCGTCTTCCTCCTCTCTCTGTTCGCCGGAACCGCCTGATTCGTCCGACCCACTTCCCTCCGACCCGGTTTCCTCCGATTCGCGATCGTCTGGGTCGTCCGATCCGGCCTCCGAGTCTTCTTCTTCTTCGTTCATGTCTTCCTCCTCTTCTTCTCTTTCTTCTTCCTCTTCTCCCGTTCCCACCTTCCCTCTTCGGATGATCGGATCCCATGAGGTGATATCGGTCACATCGATAACCAAATAGTCACCCGACGAAGGGAGGTAGATGTTATCGCCGTTGAGTTCCATGCACGTGGACCACAATAGCTGTTGCCCCCTGTGGGGCCAACGTTCGAGGGAGCGTCGCGGGCGTGGATCGTTTGTCGCAGCGCCACATGATCTCTAGAGGTAGATCGTCCACGAACTGGGCCAAGAACACTAGAACTTCTGCAGGTAGGGAGAAGGGCCTCATAGGCATCTCGTCCCGCCGGGCTAGCAAGCATTCGGGGCCCGGTAGGGCACGAGCCCATAGCAGGAGCCCGCCTAGCCTGACACCAGTACCACTGTCGGTACCCGGTCAGTCTTGTCCAATCAATCAGTCCGCTAGGGGTATACCCCAACTGTTGTTTGTTTTTCGTCATTCACCATTTTTGCACTTGTTGGAGTACGTGCGGTGTTGAGTCTACGTCGGAGCTGCGCTGTCCCTTCCACCTCCATCTCCACTTCCTCCTTCTTCTACCCCTCCGTCTCCATCTTGTCGGACCGCCATCCCGGCGGGTCGGCACACTGGTATCAGAGCAGGCTTTCCTCCATGCTCCCCTGACCTCCCTCCACTATTTGTCACGTGGCTTGAAAAAAAAAAAAAAAAAAAAAAAAAAAAAAAAAAAAAAGCTCGCCACATTTATCCCCAGATTTATTGTTCTTTAGCTTGTTGGAAAGCTCTCGACGAGCCGCTTCCACCGAGCTATCGATTGCTAAGTTCTATGTGTTGGTTCAGGAGCTGCAATCGTTCAAAGATCGCGATTGTTTTTTTTTTTTTTTTAAGCTTTAAAACCGCGCGCGCTCGTTTTTCAACGAGCGCTATTACTGCAGACAACGGCTGGTGTCGCGCCATACCTCGTTGGAAGCGGCTTTCAAAAAGATTTCCAACGAGTCCTCTTTTGCCAAATTTCACCCAGCGGGTGAAAAGTTATTCAAGTTGGCAAAATAGTGTTTGTCATCTACCTCCCCTCTCTTTGTTTGTGACCATCTCCAACAGTGCCACGTGGCAGCTTGCTAAAGATTGAAGACCCCCCTGGCTAGGAGGCTGCACTACAGTGACATCTGGGTGGCTGATCAAGATCTCAGCCCACCCCAGATTTTTTTATTGCAGTGGCATCAGGCCAGCAACATCTTGAAGGCCAAGATCCTGTGGATCTTGGTAGTGGTCTGCTCTTGGCCACCCAAGAGCTTGGTATCACCTTCCTACCCACTAACCTACTCTCCCCTAACCCCTTTTCTCCCCCCCCCCATCATCTAGTCATATTTTCGCCCCCCCTACCACTACTCTCTAATCCTACCTTCCTTTCCACTCATTTTCCACAACCTTTTTCTCTCCTCTCCTCCCCACTCACCATCTCCCACTAATCTCATTTACTCCTCTCCACCTTTTTCATATCCTTCTCTCCCATTCTACCACCCTCCTCCCCTCCTTCCCTCCCTTAACTACAACCCCATCATCTCCCCCATCTCCCACTTTACTTTTTCTCTCTTTTCACCTATTTCTCTCTTCCTCCATCACTTTTCCATTCCCCTCAACCCAACTTCGAATTTTCTGTTTTTCTTCTTTTCTCTTTCTCTTTGATTTAAATTTTCTCTTTTCCTCCAAAAATTTGAATCATTTTATTCCTTACTTCTTTTCTCATCTTCTGATTTATTTTTATTTTTATTTTATTTATTCTAAAAATTCGATTTTTTTTTTTTTTTTTTTTTTTTTTGCAGCATCTCTATATCTTGCTGGGACTTAGTCTTTTCTGTTGTCGGCGCATATTTTGACCCCTTGGGGATAACGAAGTTCTGCCGAAATTTTGTCGTTCCTCCTTACTTTCTTCTTACCGCACATTTTGACCCCTTGGGGGTAGCGAAGCACTGACCAAATTTTCCCATTTTACCTAGTCTTTTTCTTGACGGCACACTTCGACCCCATGGGGGTAACGAAATGCTGCCGAAAGTTTTGAAAAACTCCAAAACTTAGTTTTTATACACTCTCCTCCACCCCCTTGTTTATTTATCTATTTATTTATTTATTATTTATTAATTTTTCCGAAAATTTTAATTTGCGGCATTTTGAAAGTTAGTGTGCTCCTTTTGCTCTTTCCTTCCTCTTGGCACATTTTTAACCCCATGTGGGGTGGGAAAATGTTGCCGAAAATTCCAAAAAAATAAATATTCTCTCTCCTCACTCCTTACATTTTATTTATTTATTTATTTCTATTTATTTTTTTATTTTATTTTATTTGATTTATTTTCTTTCCTCCTCCCTTCCAGAGTTATTATTATTTTTTCTTGATTAGGTCGCCGCTACCCTCCCCTAACCACCTAAACTCCGGTTATTATTTAGGGTTCTCCTAGCCCCCCCTACTCTCCCGCCTCCTCCCGTCCAGCACCCTGAACCCGAATGACTCCTCTCCCCTTGACCAGATTCGCGCCACCATCTCACACGCGACCCGCTGGTCACGGGGCGAGCCGACCCACGATTACCGACTCCGCTCTCGCGGTCCACTCCCTCTCACCGGTGGTCCCCTGTCCCCATACCACAACCCATATCTCCCCCCACCTCCCACCATGTCTACTTCTCCACCGCCCACTGAGAGCGCTACAACCGAGGAGATAGCCGCGGCACAGTCCACATCCCAGGTCACCGCACAGTCAGCGGCTCATGATCAGGTCCATGCGGACACCATGAACCTTCATGCCGTCTTTGTAGCAATCCAGGCGCAACTTAGTATACTGGACCATTGCAAGCGCAAATAAATGTGCTTGCCCTTGACGTCAACCGTCTCAAGGGCTCTCCCCATCGCTCTCCCCTCCACTCTCACACCCCATTGCCTGCCGGCTCACCGGCCGGTTCCCCACGACTCCGGCGGCACAGACGTGGTGGTTCTTCCTCCCTTGTGGCTCAGCCCCAACACTCCCACTCAGCAGTGGTGAGTGCCGCTGCCGCTCAAACCACCCCGTCTGTTGTGGCACCTCCCTTGGCACCTGCCGCCCCTACCGTCTCTATTGTTGCCGCAGGTGCTGCGGTCCAGATACCACCATCTGGCCCAACAGTTTCATCGACCCACACCGGTGCTGCTTCCCAGCTTCCTGCACTGGTCGCGGCATTACGACTTCGCCCTCTTCTTCCCGCCTTCGTTCCCCTATCCCCACAGCAGGGTACCACCCAGGCTGGGACTCCTCTTCCCGCTGGGAGACCCGCTCCACCTCCTCCACCTCAGACCCTGCATACCCAACGAGTGACCAGTTTACACTCCACCATTGCGCAGGCTCAGACGGAGATCCTGGCCCTTAGACAGCCTCACCCTTCAAAGGTTGCTCACCCTTCTTCTTCCTCCACCACCTCATTGACCCCCATCATGCTGGTTCGTTTCCCTCGACCGGCTCCACCACCTCTTCCCTCTTACCTAGCCATCCCGGGACAGCTGCCCGCGGCCGTTGCCTCCTCGTCTATTGGTCCATCCGCTAGCGGCCACTACCCACAGCCTTCCCCCACCTCTGCCCCTGCAGCGGCCCCGACTTACGCCGCCTCAGTGCACTAGCCTCGATCTTTCTCCCCCCGCCATCAGCACAGTGGAGATCCTCTTGTGCGCACCACGGACATTCCCGAGTATGATGGCATATCCCGTGTCTCTCGCTGGTTGCAGATAGCAACGTGCACAGTCTCTCTGACGATCACCAGTCAAGAGTTGTGGTGCGATGTGCTCGCAACCAAATTGTGAGGTAGTCCTTCCACCACGTGGGACGACTATTATACCCAGCGCCTCCGCGTGGGTGAGGTCCCTACTCTTGCAGACTTCGCGGCTTTCCTTCAGGACCGCTTTGGCGCTCGTCATGATGCCACTGACGCTTTGGACCACGTCACCTAGAACCGATGGTCCGGGTCCTCTACACCGGCTGACCTCAAGCGTCACATCCGGGTGTTTCAAGATGCCTGCCTTGTTTGTGACGAGACGTTCCTACCGGAGGTCACACTCACCGACTGGTTCCTCGCCAGCCTGCCGACCGACTACCGCTTAGAGCTATAAAGGCGATCATTCTCTTCCGCGGAGCAGGCATACGAGGCTGCGCGTCAATACTAGAGGATGTGCAGTCGCTTCTCCGTCTCCCCATCCTCTTTGTGGCCAGCGGCCACCTCCTAGTCTCGCGGTACCACCAGAGGCCGCTCCTCTTTTGCTGGTCGTTTTCGTCGCCCAGCTCGACCTGGAGCGTCATTCTCTCGGCAGTATAGTTCTCTCGAGTATGGAGAAGATTCCTTTAGCCGAGCTTGACCCTACCACTGGGGACGCCCCCGAGAACATCGAGCTTCGGGACGTCATCCAGTACCACTTGGATGACGACACTGTCCCGGTGGCCGAGCGCTTGCAGATGGCCATGTGTGCCATGGGTCTTGCGCGCAGTCGGGTTGCACAGGCTGGCGCTCGCACACCCACAGTTCCTCCGATAGACCTCCCGCAAGGTTTTATCCCTCCTCGCGGAGCTCTATCCCCTGAGGAGCGTGCCGCCCTTGAGGCCCGGCGCGGCTGTCTTCGTTGCCACCAGGATGGACACACCTCACGATGTCCATACCATACCGCCCTCGATCGGCACTACGCTGATATCTCTCGCCAGCGTCGATCTCAGTTCCCCTCGGGCCCCGCCTGGCCAGCCCCACCCAGTGTACCACTGAGGCCTCGCACGTAGCTGGCTTCCCGACCACCGAGTCGCGGTTTGCCCTTTTGGCTACCCCACCAGAGGATCCTCAGGACACGACAGACGCAGTTCCCTCTACCCCATCATCTATCGAGGTACCGTCTGCCTCATAGCAGACCGCCGCATCTAGTGCTTCCCCTCCGAGACTTCCGACGTGTCGCGCCATTCGCACAACCCGTTGTAGCGCTCAGCTGGCGACTCGCAATGACGTCGTGTCATCTTTCCTGGACTTTAGCATTCTTCAGGCTCATCAGGAGTGACTTACGAGACACGTCAACGTCCTGCGTCGTCTTCTCGCTCTGCTTTCTGACCCTGATCGCACCCTACCCATTATCCCTATTCGCCTAGGGATATCTATGAGGGTGTACCGCGCTTTATGAGACTCTGGCTCGCAGGGAGATTTCGTTCACCCTCGAGTGGTTGAGGAAGCTCGCCTAGCTACCTTTGG